TTACTGAGCACCTCTGCACATAAAACACACTGAGGCCTCTGCAGTTCGACTGGCTGTGCTGAAGCCAACATTTATAAACTCTTCCTATGTATTTTTGTTTCGACATCACGCACACAGTCAACAGTGGGGGAATCACTGTCAGTGACTCTGCAGTAGTCACAGGTAGTTATTAGCTATGGCTCTGATTGGCATTGATAGAAACACAACACCTGTATGGACATGCTAATTTTAGCCCCTTAACTGGTGAGATGCAATGACGTGCCACCACAAAATACATCCAGTCTCCATCCAAGCAGCACTCAAACATCATTCCAAATTAGTCTGCAATTGAAATAGAGACTGAATAAGTAAGAGATACATAGAAAAAGGTAACCACAGTCAAGTTTTCACAGGCCTCCATGCTGCTTTCTACTGTTTACTAACCTGTTTTCTAGCCCATCAGTGATATCTAATATGACACATTAAAAAAATGAAAAGTACACACACACACACAGAAAACCATACTCATCTGCTGCAGAGCCATGTACACAGCTCTGGTCTACTGGTAATGGGAAAGGAGTCTATCGCCTATTTATAGTGGGTTTACCTGTGTTTAAAAAACTTCAGTACACAAAGTTTGGTGGAAAAGGGGTATATTTGGCAGGCCTTTTGAAAGCAACAGCGACTTTCTAAAGTTAGATCATTGTGTGTAATGTTCTAAATATATGGATTTTTAAATGGCTTAAATTTTGGTATCTCACCAACATTTGTGGTGTCAGATTTTAATTAGATTTTAAATTTAAAATACATTCAAGAACTGTTTTTTGTGTCAACTTACACTTTTTCTGTTGTCATGAAATTGGAGCAATTGACTACAATCTAATTTAAAATTAAAATATCACCTTTTGCCTAATTTTGCAAATATTAACTCACCAAAGGCCCACGAGTCAAGAGAACACCTAAGATCATCTTGTACCTATAAAACAAATTCTGTGTAAAGTTATTGCTTATGTATAAACATATTGTCAATAATGGACATCAGCTAAAATCAAGTATGCTTTTTATTCAACAGAAAATGATTTTACAAACATTCCAGTTTAGAGAGCCTGTCCAATATGAATTAGCAGAAGTGGTATTAGCATTGTGAGTGTCTTATGAGTGTGCCAGCACTACATCCTACATGTCCTGATGAGTGGCCCCCAGTCTCGGCCGGTCTCAGGACACGCCTCCCGTCACATGACAGTGTATAACCAACAGAGGCTCCATTTGACTTCAAGGTTAAAGGCAACATGGCTGATTATTCTGTTCATCTTCGCCACATGGTAGGAAAGGTGTTAAGGTCAAGGGTGACATATGCCACCCTCCCCCCCACGTCACTCAGGTTTGACTTCCTACTAGTATTGACAAGCACTACTATGTTACTCAGACTGACAATATGTCAACCAAGCCTGATCCTCAATTTGTTGGTATTAGAAAAACAATATTATTTAAACCAAATATATTTGTATTCAAATAAAGAAAATTGTATACAGATATATTTGGTTTAAATAATATTGTTTTTCTAATACCAACAAATTGAGGATCAGGCTTTGTTGACATATTTTCAGTTCTCACAATAACCCTAAAAAGTTTCTTTGTTGACCACAAATGTAATGGTAAACAAGAAGCTGGCTAAACTATGAGAATTTTGGTCATTAAGATTTGTGTCAATTTGAAGAACTTCTTTGAAAATCTGTATGTATAAACTGGGCTTAGGTCAGCTTACTCTCACATAGTCCCCAGTAATGAACTCTTAGTGAACCTTAAATAATATTAATGCTTAAATCTACATGTAAACTCATATCCAATTATAGCACCTTGACCAGGTCCTTCCTACAAGCCCTGCGTTTGACATAGTGACATATGGCAGCAGACTCTTATGGTATTAGTGTAAAGTAACCAGGAGACGGCGAGACTGCCTTTGATCACACCAACAGGTTACACATGTCCTCATATTTCTGCCTGCTTACCAACTTGTCTGGCGTGACAGCTCGCCTGCTTCTGTGAATCATCCCGAGCCCAACGGCACGCCTCTGTTCTCTCTCTCTGCCTGTATACATTCACATGCTATCTCTTTGTGTTGCATTTGAATGTGAAAAGCTTCTTATATGTGACTTAATGCAGTCGGGTCATTAGCATTGTAAGGGGGTGGGGGGTTGCTGCCGCTGCTGTGAGAGTGAAGAAGTGGTATTAATAGGGTGGAGCTGTGGAGGGGGCGGGCTGGAACACTGGTTGGATGACCAAGACATGCTGGTCCACTGTAGTGTGAGGTGGGGATCAGGTAGAGAAGAGGTTGCTGGGTAAACAGAGCATCAGGTTGGGCAGTAGAGTTTAGGGTGTGGCACACTGGTAAAACCCTGGATGCTTCTCACTATGGCCCCCTAACCAGGCCACTGGAGGGGATGAAGGAAGGGAATCCATTGGATGGTAAGATACTGTATCTCCAGAGCTCTCACAGGATAAAGACTGGTTATCATGACACCAAGATATGGGCAGAGTCATGTCAGAAATGTGAAATTCAGCTTTCATACAAAGTGGATTTTAATCGGATGGCCATTCAAGTCAAAGGTGCAAGTAAGAGACTGGAGAGGGATTTCTAGAATCTATAAGGGCTGACTTTTTTTTTTCCAATAGTATTGGCGATGTGATACCCGAATACTTTTTTTGTTACCCTACTTCGGGCAAGATAAACAGTATTGGAAAGAAAAAACAAATTAAACAGATTCACAATAACTTTGTCTCAAATAGACAAAATCTTGATTGAACCGATCACAGAAAAAGTCAGCTGGAGTATGACTCTAACCAGACATTTAATGCTTGCACTCAGTCCTTGACAGGTTTCCATGCCAAAGACACATTTTGGTTAGTACCAAAAAAGTACTGGGATTCAAGAAACAGCCTTAGTTAGTGTAAAATGCAGAAGTTCCTGCGTCACTCAGAATTACTTTGAACATTATTTATTTATTGTTTATATTCATATTAAAACTGATGTGGTGTTGGATTGAGTAAATGTATCTGTTGCCTTTAATCATCAATTATTCTCATTATTGGGCAGACTATTTTCTCAAAAGCACTTTAAGGAGTACTTCACAAAATGATAAATGAATGAATGAATGATGAAAATGATAAATCAATGAGTCGTACTGTATTACCTTGAATTTGCGAAGAGAGCTGCATTTTTCTTGTATGTGTCGATCAAAAACAGTAATTATATTGATTAATTGGAGACCACGGTAAACAACAGCAAAACAATATCAAAACATCCATTTACAGACTTACACAACTCATGCTGTTTAATCCAAGCTTCATTCATCCAGTTGTATGTTCAGTGCTCCCCAAACATGCATTTTTACAAAAAACCTTAGTACCGGAGTGTTATGTCCAACAGGTTAGTAAACAGTAGAAAGGAACATGGAGGCCTGTGAAAACTTTATGGTGGTTACTTCTCCTCATATATTTGCAGACTAACTTGGATCAGTGAGTGCTGCTTGGATGGGGACAGACGGTATTTTATGGTAGCGTATCATTGCATCCCGCCAGTTAGGGGCTAAAATTAGCATGTTCACCCAGGTGTTGTATTTACATTATTGTCAATCAGAACTGAAGCCGATAAATACCTGAAACTAGTTCAGAGTCATTTGATCAGGGTGTGAATGCCGATTGTAACCTTTCCCAGTACATGAAAAAGCCAGATGTGAGCGGGTTAATGGGTTTTTGTGCAGTGGAAAAGGGGATTAATTTTTGCCTTTAGTTCAGTTTCAAATCCTAAGGTTTTAATGAAAATGCATGTGTTTGGGAGGGACTTAGCATATACCTGGTTAATGTGAGTTGGATTATACTGCACGAGTCCTGTAAGCGTTTGTAGACGATGTTTTGATATAATTATGCCGTCACACAGTCCACAATCAATCAATCAGTAATGTTTAGCATCTCCGTTAACGTATGCAAGAAAAGTTTTCTCACGGTAACACAGCATTACTAACTGATTTACATATGGTCATTTTTGGGTGAAGTGTTCCTTTAAAGAGATGTCTTGATGATTGTGGTTCATTCTTTTTGACAAAAACTAGAAAAAGAAAAGCTATAGGTAATAAACAGGGAACAGCAGCAAATTCATCTTTACATTATTTATTAGACATTTTAGATGTAGCTGAAACATTTGTAGTTGGGACACAACATGTGGGGACAGAGGGGGGCAACATGCAATGAAAGTCCCAGGGACATTGCAGTTCTATGGTATGCCACTTAAACTACTCTGACACCAGCATTTCCAATTAATTAATTATTAGAAGATCCACTTAATGACTGAACATCAAATAATTTTGGCGCTATTATGAAATAAATAAAACAAATCTATATCGTGCACCAAATCATTTACAGTCTAAGTCCATGAAACATCAGTGTGGTTAACAGAATAAAAGGAGCACATATTTCACACAGGTTTAGCTGGAAATATCTGTCTTCCAAATTTGAATTTGAATGCAGTGTCAGTCCCATATGGAGGAATGTGTAGAGGAGGAAAAAGATCCACCTCTTGGTCTCTATCTTATCAGCCCTCAGCTCCTTTTGCTTTTCACTATGCTCAGTTTGTAGCTAGGCAAGCTGTGAAACTTAAGACAACTTTACCCTTCTCCCTTGATGTGCTAAGGGCTTCAATTAGTTAATGTCTGTGTGTTTTGTCAGCTTGAACCTGTGTTTATGCTTGGACATGCACTTTGGTCCTCATCAGAAGTGCCAGAGGCATGGTTGAGGGGAGGGGAGGCTAATTTGGGTGAGGGCAGGGAGAGAGGAGGGGGTGGTGGGGAGTAGTATTGTTGAGCAGCAACGAAAATAGGACTATCAGTTCCACTCAGATACCTCCTAGCTGTCATTGGACCTCAAGCCAAGCCGTGACCCCGGGGCTTGAACTCTGTGGTCATGTGACCAGGCAGTAAGTGACCAGTGGTGTTGCTTGGCTCTGACTGTGGTCAGTGTGGGGCAGGCTGTCGAGGAAAGAGGTCGCTGGGAGAGAGAGAGGCAGAGAAAGAAAAGAGAGTCATGAGGCAACCAGGCCCAGTAGCTTTTTTTTAGCCAGGTCCATGCTTGAATGGGGTCCAGACAGACTGGGAGAAGCATGAAATGGATACATGGGAAGGTAAGAGAGGCCAGTAGGGAAGACTTTCTTTTAATGAGCTGTACTTAAACTCATCATAATTGTTTGCGTGAATGGGAGAAAGGAGTTGTTTGTGATAAGCCAGAGACTGCATTATATCTGCATTCTGTTAACTAAATATTTCCTTTTGGGAAGGCTAATTTAATTTTTCTTTGCATGTGTGTTTTATCAAACACACAAGGTATCAAACACACATGCAATTCAGCTTCACAGCCAGCTTGAGCATGATATTTATGCATTATAGTGCCTTTGAATTACTATTAATGAATTTACTAAACACATTTTTAAAAATCCCCAGTAAGTTTCTATATATGCTGCTCTCAAGATCCTCTTTGCAGTTTGATTAAATTAATTCTGAATTGCTTTCTGATTTATGCTACATTTGATAGGATTAGCCCTTTATGTCTGGAGTTGTTGGTGATTTTCAGGCCAGGCTAATGAGCTGAGCTTGGCACAGTGTTCCTTGTGATCAATGCTTTCAAGTGCTTTGTTTATGTGTGTGTGTGTTATGACGCATCTCAGTACGGAGGTGCTTTGCACAGTGTGCCTCCATATGTATTGATCTTTGGTAGGCTATGTGGTTTTGTACAGTGCTGATTTGATGGAGGATCAATCTGCTGGCCAGCCACCACTAGCCCTAAGCTGAGAGTACTTTCCCATTTTGCTATGTTTGGCCCCTTTCTTTGCTTCATTCCTGTTTTTAACCATGGCGTAGTTTCGCACAAAGAGCACTTTTTCAGATGTGTGAATGTTAAGTGGGCGATATATCCTTGAACTTTTGTTGGCTACGCTCTCCCCAAATCGCTTTTATAGGTCGTCCCTCTTTTGTCGCTTCATTTGGCCGTTTTATGTGAATTATCTTAAGTGCTAGAATAAAATAACCTTCCTTTGGCAGTTTTCACACTACATCCCACCCCAAGCACCCACCAAACTACTACCCCCCTCCCTTGTATTGCAGGAATTTGGAATGTGATCCTCACTCTTAAAGTCCACATGGCAAAGCAAAGTGTCCTGGACTGCTCATCACTGCTGCATGTCCTTTGATATGCGCTTATCTCACCATTTATTGATCGTACAGTTCACTCAAATCCTTTTTGTCTTGACTTTGGAATCCTCGACACATAATTACCGCTCAGGGAGTTAAAACAACAATAAAATAATTTCTCATTTGATATTTTCCTTCAAAGACTTCAGTGTAGCATGTGGAGGAACCCTGTTACTGTATTCACCCCTCCCCCTCATGTTAATCCCTCAGCCAGCAGCCATGTTGGTTATTCTCCAGCTGAGGGAGGGTTAACTCCACATTTCTACTGCTCACTGCTTCACATTCATCCTGCAGGAAGCCCTTCTGTTCTCACATTGTTCTGTACTTTGGCAAGGATATTTTCAGATGGAAAAGAGGAAAGAAAGCATGAGAGTTGGACAGAGAGAGAGGGAGTGTGAGACGTTGTTTATGTGGATGTAGATGCAGGGGACAGAAGCTGTGGGAAGATCAATAGTAACAGTGGGGGAGGTCAGAGACTCTTGTGACTATGTAATGCTCTTCTATAAATAGCCAATGAGAGAGGGAACTCCTTCTAGCCACTCACACTCTTTTTTCCTGATTTCACTGAAACATATCCATCTCCCTGGCCAAAGCCTTGTTAAACCACACACACACACAAGTCCATCATGACACAGATCTTTGTCTTTGAAGGGTGTGTTATTTCAACTGCCCTTCCCCCAGCACACACACTGAATTGAACTTACCATCGCAAATTTTTCCTCTTGCTTATTTTTTAAAGACACCTTTGCCTTGGATGATCTGCTGAAGCACACTTTTTAATTGTGGACACGTTACAGTATTTTGGTCAGTCCTGCATGGAAAATATCAGTGGGAGTTTATCCTGGTGGCTCTGCAGTCTGTGGGAAGCCCCCCCCCCCCCGGTTAATGAATTGGAGACTCAACATTCATTAACAGCACTGTTATACGAGTGTGTATCACAAAGCCTGGCCTGTAAAACTCACTACATGGTTCATATCAGCATGTGCTGAATGACATTAAAATTGAGCTCAGGGCCAAAATCAGTTTCTTCTGTCCTTTTAAGCAGTAATTTCATGTTTTACAAATGAAAGGAAAGAAGGAAGAGGGCACAGGCCTGGAACAGTGATGGCTAACATGTGTCATTTCTGCACTTTCTCCTTTTTCTTTGTTAGGACAAAAAAGAGTATCTTATGGAACAAAATAAATGAAAGTAACATACAAACTTTCATAAAAGTAAAACACTATTCGAAGCGACTTAGCATGTTTTTCTTCTTTCATGTGTGTTAAAATGGTTCAACACACCAAACTCTACTATTTGAGTTAATGCAGTGTTATTTATTAAGACAGATGCAAATGAGCTGACCTCAGTCATAAAAAAAACTTTCACAACATTGATTTAATGCCTGTTTTTGGGAGGGAAACCACAACAACAAAAAAGTTTTTTTAAAAAGCAATATTTTGGTCAATACCTGTTGTGATTCACTTGAGAAGTACTAACACCCATTGGTATTATGGTTTGGGACTGGGATATAAAGCCAAAAACAGTAAAAATAGATAAATAAACACTGAAATGAGTAACTCAAGTGCACATCAATCTAATTGTATTAATGTAAGAATACTCTTCACCAAAGTTCTCCACATGCAGCTATAAACTCCTATTTGGAATAAGACAACATGTAAATTATATTTTCAGATGCAAACCAAGCTGAGACAGTGAGGAACTACATCGAGGCCTTTTCCCACATTATTCAACAATGTAGCATCACATGTGGCTCCTATTAGCATAACATTGTGGCCTATCTTTGGTGTGGTATTACTCAATGCTAATGATTTAGCCTGGGTGTATACTATCAAGACAGCAATGTCAACAGGTCGCCATTGTCTCATGGGTGAGCCCAATCTGCAACTCCATGCACGTATCTTGTAAGATTAGCATCACAGTGTGGGCTGCCAGGAATGCTGGGTCTGAGTCACGGAGGGTCTTCAAATGCCTTTAACCTCTATGAATGTGTTAGATGTGTGGCCATGTACATACCAGTCATAGTCTGGTAATCTCCTTCACCCCGAGGTAGGATAGATAAGTTTCAGAGGTGAAGAAGAGATATGAGGAGGGGGGAAAACGGAAAGAGAAAAGGCTGGGAGGGAAGGAGGGATGGTGCCAGCAGCGGAAAAGTACAGAAGATTCCTCCAACCCCCGCTCCCTGTCTCAGCTTGGCATGATTGTGATGGAAAGCCTGAGACAAAACCTGAAGAGAAACCCCTTCAGTAACAGGCCTTGTTGCTCTGTCAGCCACTCAAAAGGCTGCTTTACACTATACATCAGCCTTTGTGTGTGCAGGATGAGGACAATAGGGAGATTTGGCCACGATACATCTCTGTTCTCAGCATGATGCAGCTCACAGAGGGTCACTGAGATGGTGAAACCTGGGTGCTGCTTAAACCTTCCTACAGAATAAAGAAGTCTTGAGACAGCAATTAAGTGATGTCAACCTTAAGAAATCAGTCTAGCTCATTCATTCAAACCCTTTACCTCTGTGTTAAATGAAAAGCCTACCCCTTAAAGTTCAGCATTTCAAGTGATGCACATCTCACTCAGTCAGCTGGGTTACAGTGAACATTTGTTGTGACATATTGGAAGCAGTGGGAAACAAGAGCGCTGTTCATCTTTACCATTGACAGGGCTTAAAATGCTTGACTTGCATTTCCTGGTTTGTGTTAAAGTTTGGAATGAAACCCAGGCTGACCCCTGGGAAACAATGCAGCCTTTAATGGGCCTTAGGGTGTGTGTGTGTGTGTGTGTGCGTGCATCGGGGGTTTTTGCAACCGAGCTAGAGAGAGAACCAGAGGGTGGAGTTCAAGATGAAGCGCTGCTTTCTAACTCTTTATTATCACTTCGGGGCAGTCTTAATTCATCTTTGTAATGTTTATGTTATTAATAGCCTTTATGTTAATAGAAAAGGGATCACACCAAAATTGCAGTCTTACTTAAATGTGGGAACATTTTTCAGCTGCATCCATCTCACCTCTAAATTTAGCAACATATCAAATTTTAAATGTGCTTACAGATGCAAACTGTGTATTACACATTTACGGTGCTAAAACATTTCTATGAAGTTAAAAAAAAGAAGGAATTGTCTCAATCCTACATTTCCCATAATGCAGCCAGTAACATCCTTTGTTAGCCCCTCTGTGCCTGGTAGTTGCCCACGTCTTTCAAACTCCACTTCCCCAGTTTGTAACGCAGGCTTTGTGTGCAAAACATGTGAATTCTCTTTGCATAAGCTGAGACCTCCGAGGATGTCACCAGGCATGCCATCATCACTCTCTCAGACTTAACAAAGGCCTTTAAGAGCCACAGAAAGCAAACTACACTTGTGTCCACGGGCTGAGTAGTACTCTTCATGACTAGTAGACTGACCTTCCTGTGGTAAAATCAGTGGAATTCCCCTTTAAAGCCTCTGCTTACTTCATTGGTTGAAGTAATGTCTGTTGTGCAGTCAAATGTAGGATATGGAAAAATTCTATGTTGGCTGAACTTGAAATGGCATGACATGACATGGATAGAGTTGGAATGATCACATAATCTACATCAGTGCTCTCATTCTCATCAAATACTAGCTCCTCCTACCCAGCCCAGTCAAAGTGGAAATGTTGCGGCATCACTTTTGCCTCACTGTTTTGTATAAACGTTAAGGGCACAGAATGGAGAGACAAAGTTCTTATGCTGTTAAGCTGGTAAAACAGTTGACATGGCTGCAGAAGCAGAAGAGATGTGACATATGCATTGGCAGCGCTTTTTAGACGGTGGTGGGGTTTCTGTGAAGTGCTGTAAAGTTTAGTTGATTCAAAACACACATTAAAAATGGCTAAATAGAGACAATTTCAAAGTACACAAATCAGCTTAATTACAGATCACAAGGTTCACCGACAAAACAATTGTATTTCACTAAACTCGTTT